AATATACATTTGTTTTCTAAAGCACAGAAGCAGTTTTCTTTCAGACACGCTGTCTCTGAATAAAACCTCAGACAGAACCATAAGGTGGAAGGTCACTTGTGTTAACAACAGAAAGAAAGGAGTTACAGAAAAACATGTGAAATGAAGCCTAAAGCACCACCAGCTGGCTGTATTTGGGTAAAATATTGAATGCGAAATATATATAGATCTATTTTAATCCTGGCCCTAATAATGAATTAAATAAAATATGTACAAAACCACTGAATATGTATTTTTTGTTTAACAAGAATGTCCTCAGATGGACACCGCAGGACAGAGGCAACCTATACAATTTCTGTTCCAAAGGGCTCAGTTGCTTGAATGATAGCAGTGTCTTGTAACTAGGCCAGAAGACAAGGACTCTTCAAGCAAGGTCTAACCAAACACCATAACATTGCTTGTAATAGGAGCTGTTGTAGTAAGTAAATGCACCCCCTTTTTTGCTAGAGGAAAGCAGTTAGTATGCAAAATCTGCAAGCCCGTCATCCATGACTGCTGTTATATCTGGGGAAAAAGACCCTGGCAGTGCGAGTCCCCCTCACTGCACATGTGAAATGCTCGATATTTTGTTTACGGTACCATTTTAAGGGTCACCTTATCCCTCACTCCCCAGACAGCCAGTGCTCACCTTTTCCCTCCAACTCTCCAGGTTGTGGGACCCTCGGTGTCCACACTAACAATGCAAGACTGTTGGCCCAGCGTTGTACGTGATGATATCAGAGTGCAACCAATGGCACCACAACACGCAGCACCACAATACTGTGAATTGTGGTGCAGTAAACAAAAGTAGTGCATGCACTACTTCTTCACCGCAATGCACTGTATTGTGTTACTGCATGATGCACTGTGCTGCAATGCACGGCCCCGAGGAGGTATGTTAGTGCCATTTAAAAACAATGAGCTGCCCGCTCTGTTCGGGTATTCTGACAGGGGCTGCCAGTCGCTGTTAGAATACAATGTAAACAGTGGGGATTCCTGGATCGACACACTCGAAGTGTTGATGGAGGAATCTGCTCTATTTTATTCCCCTGAGCCCCCACGGGTTGAATGGCTAGCCTCAGAATTGAATAAAATTTCAAGCAGCATTCGCCAAGTCTCTGATGACATCATCGAATTTTCTGACCAGATTTTTCCTATGAACTGTCATATAACAATCTTTCAGTGTATGATCAGCTTCAATCTGGAAAGTCTGTGTATTGCAGCAGTAAGAATGAAGTGTTTTATTGCTGCAGCAGGTGAGTCATCACTAAATTCCCACTTCACATAAAAGAGAACTACAGGTTATTGTACATTATGATTGAAGTAGATATATTAGGGGTATATTTAGGGTGTATGCTTATGTATTGAAGGAAATTCTTTTGGCTGATGTTATTTAACACACCTATGCTAACTAGGTTTTTATTGTGTAAGTTTCTTGACCAGTTGACTATCCTGTTTTGTTGATTGTACACAATAGAACAGCTGTAGGGAATTGTGTCAGTGTATGGTACTAAACTGTATATGAAGTCAGAGACTAAAGTGGCTGGGAGGGAACTGAGAGTCATGAAGAGAGGCACATAGGTGCATATATAAATTGGAGATATGTGCCGGGTAGGTAGGAACCTTTGTAATCTGAGGTCTAGATATTTTATTTTGATTATTACTCTGTCGGACTGTTTCTGTTCATCTGTTACTTCGATCCAATTAACCGCTACTCTCTGGAAAAGAACTGAGGTTGCCTGGATATTTCCTGAAGATCCAATTTTCACAACTCACATAAATATAAATATATATGTTTATTTATATATTTTTACACCCGACTACTTTTATCACTACACAGGTAAACCTTTTTGTGGCTATACTTCTCTTTTGGGTGACAGGGATATATGCATTATCAAACACAACTCTGGTATGGATTCCTTCCTATTACAATGCTAATGGCATAACGGGATAGGATATGCTGGGACTATACACTGAGTGGCCAGATTATTATGACCACCCCATCAGTACTTCGTTGGGCCACGAGATGACTCCACGAGATGACTTCGTTGGGCCGCCTCGTGACTCCACAAGATGTTGAAAGGTGATGCGAGGAATCTGACACTGCACTGTTGCCCTTCTGTTGTCTTGTACCAGTCTTGCCCCTCCCCCGTTCTGCCCTAACATTGACTAGTCGCTGACGGCCACAATTTGCACGTTCAGACCCAGATTTTCGGCTGACAGTCCAGTCTTTAAACACTTTAACAACAGCTGCTCTTGAACATTTAACAAATTCTGCTGTTTTGCTGATACCCGCTCCATGGCTCCGAGCGCCAACAATCATCCCACGTTCAAAGGTTGTTAAATCGCGTTGTTTACCCATTTCTTCAGAAAAAAATCACTTCTACTGTCGTGGTAAACAACCTGCTTCCCTATTTATAATGGTCTGGCCCTCTAGCAACTTCAGCGCGAAATTATAGCTAATTTGCCTACAAACGCCAGGTGGTCATAATAATCTGGCCACTCAGTGTAGAACTCCATTGATTGAGAATGTATAAAAAAGAAAAAAGTGAAATCAGATCACTTTTTTGAACCTCCCTCCAAATTTCGGAGGCCATCGTTATCCCAATGCATTCTGTGATTTGTGAATTTATTCTATTCCCATTGTGACACGGTGATGACACAAACCTCTTGTGATGCAATGCTACGTGAAGCAGGAAACACGTTGCAGTGATCACACGTTTAATAATGACAGTGATGTCACATTACCACCTAAAAGTGATGATTGTTTTTTGCGCTGCACTTGGCTGTGATCTGTGTCTGGTGGGCGGTGGAGTCGTCGTTGTGTTTATCAGGCACCTACCTTAAAGGAGAACTATGAGGTGAGTGCTTTTCACTCACCTCATAGTTCTAGCCGACCTGTGACAATGAGACTGTCACAGGTCGGCTCAGTAGATCGGGAGGTGAGCGAACACATACCGGCGTTCGCTCACCTCTCGATCCTGTCACGGCTCTCTGCCGTGACAGGGGAGGGGCTGGATTCCCCCCTCCCTGCTCCGATCCGCCAGCGCTGACTGGCGGAACGGACGGGGAGGGGGCGGGTACAGCTGGCTCTGCCTCTAGATAGGCAGAGCCAGCTGTCACTCACGCAGCTGGGTGGATCTCGACATCTATCTATCTATCTATCTATCTATCTGTCTGTCTGTCTGTCTGTCTGTCTGTCTATCTATCTATCTATAAAACAGCGCCAGCAGGGATAAAGTGGGTACCACAGACATATACAGGTGAAACTCAAATAATTAGAATATCGTGCAAAAGTAATTGCAGTAAGTTCTGCAAAAGGGGCCCAAACCAAGTACTGAGTACATATGCATGCTTGTACTTTTCAGAGGTCCGATATTGTTCTATGTACAATCCTTGTTTTATTGATTGCATGTAATAATCTACTTTTTTGAGATTGTGGATTTGGGGTTCTTGGGGTTTTCATGAGCTGTAAGCCATAATCATCACAATTATGAAAAATAACAGTTTGAACTATCTTGCTTTGCATGTAATGAGTCTATCTCATATATTAGTTTCACCTTTTAAGTTGCATTAGTGAAATAAATGAACTTTGCACGGTATTCTAATTATTCGAGTTTCACCTGTAACACCAGAATAAAAAGAAAAGCCATAGGTAGAGAATCACATAAGGAATTCAACTGATAAAAGCCCAATGTGGTGTTAAAATCTCGCACATTCCTTTACATGGCCCCTCTGGCCCGATTTGACATTTAATGTTGGAGTTTGTCCTCGCTGTGCGTCCCCATTGGCCAGTAATGCTGCCCTTCACCCTGATGGTCCAATAAGGATATGCGTCAGGTGGGAGAGGGCAAGCTAGCCTCTGACCCAATAAAGAAGTGTTAAAATTGTCAACGGAAGTCTGGGATTTGGGGTGCCTCCAGTCATCCCCAGTATTAGCCTGCACTGAACCGCTGTTGCATATTCTGCTTCTTTATGCCACTGACAGGTTCACTTTAACTGTAATCTCGGTTCTTTCCTCTGGAGACATGCTCTCGTACAGAGCCATACTGGCAGAATATAGGCATTGTATCCAGGCTTCTCTGACTAAGTGCCTTTATTAAAGATCAGTCATGCGGTCCTGTGAGGTGAATTCCCTGAAGCATTCTGGAAAGCTGATCCGTCTCCTCAGACATACACAGAGCCCGACATGCAGAAGGTAATGATTAATGCAGATTAATGCACACAAAGCCTCTGCCATGAATGACATTAAAGGACTTTTCCATTCCAGTCAAACATATCATTTGATAACTGACTCTGGGACACAGCCTCTCATTTTTATCCCAGCCTTCATCACCTGCCCCTGGCTGCCCCTCCAATGAAAGCACTATAGCTGTCCCTATCCTCATTCACTATACAGCCCTGAAAGTGTGCATTTCGGAGTGTGTTCCAGGGTTCCAGCACTGCCCACTCTAGCCCTGCCCACAATCAGGGCTCATC